TGGATTTAAACAATTACCCAAATATTCTATGTTAGTGTTACGTTATCAGAATAGATGTCAAGAATTATATTTGAATATATGTCTATACTTAACACCTCAAAATAAAACACTCAAATTAGAAAGGGGAACTAAATTGGAGGTAACAGCCTAGTAATTCAACAGGCTGAAATTATATGCTTACTATTATAAACAATTTTTTAGCATTAAGACCATAAGTTTGGTCAATTTAATCATCTTTTGGTAAAACATGATTACCAAATCACACTAACTATAAGAAGGGGAGTAAAAAGGGAGGAGAGAAAAGTGCAGAAACCTAGGAATAGATGATGCCAGGCTATGAAAGTCATTTTCAAAGACCATTAACTATCAACTGCTTTACTCAGGGCTCTGATTAAATAAAAATATACATCCTGTGTTAGAGGGATGTCTACATGAGTAGGATAGAATTTAGAACAAAAATGTACTGCACAAGCTATAAAGAATGAAACCACAATATACAAGCAGGCATCTGACTTAAACTGTATATGTGCTTTTAAACTGATAGTGAATAAACATTCAAATTATTTGGGTGGAGAAAAGAAGTCAGACAAAACCATCATTTCCATTTTAAAATAGAGATTCCACAAACTAAAACTGTATTTGCCTATATGAATAGAAAGATCTAAAAGACTACTGGGAGAAAAATTCATATCGAGCAAGCTTTTAAATGGATTCCAGCAATGTTATTCTATGTTTCTTACAATATATTTTATTTATCATCATTTCTATGAAATGTGCTAGATTTTATATTAGTAAGAAAGTTTGCTTTACTCTGTCATATCTCTGGTGAGCAGATGCTCGGGTATTAATGTAAATAGTTGATTTAATTTTTAGCTTTCTTGGTTTGCCCCTCACCTATCTAGGAAATGATTTCTCTGGTGATAACTAACACATCATGCTAATGAGAGAATCTAATGCACAATAGAAAAATGTCACTACTAATAATATTTGCATGAAGTTAAATAAAGCAACTGTAAGAGAATGTCAGACAGTTGTTCTTTAATAAGACACAGTTTCACAATGAAATTATGTTGTTAATTTTGTTACATCATTGGGTGAATCCTAAATTACTACATAATGATGCACAGAATCATTTATAATTCTAACTTAGTATTTCACTCATGTCTGAAGAGACCTTATTAAGGGATCTGCATTTTATTTGAAACAGGTTAAATATACCTCACCAATAATAAAAGGTAAATGTCTCTAGTAATGGGTAAAACGTGTGCTATAGTCATTTACCTGTTCCGTTTTCACTTCTGAAAAGATCTCAAAATATATTAGACTCCTGCATCCCTTGGGGACAGCTTAAAAAGAATTTCATTTAAAATTCTCTCAAATGTACAAAATATTTACAAAAATGGGAAGAGGGGAATCACCTTTTAAAAACTGATTTAAAAAAAAACTTCCCAAAAGCAGGCCATATTTTCTGGTTTTTCAAAAGTACTTCATGAGGTTGAAATGGATAAAAAAATCTTCCGGACTCCAGGAGATTAACAGAAGATGAGCAAAGGGTTTCTGGTCATTCTCGACCTGCCACTGATCAAAGTGACCCAAACAAGAATTCCCTTCTCAAAAGTCAAGAGTCATGCCCTTTAAGGTTACCAAACATTTGTCTATGTGGGGGGAAACTATGCCTTCTGAAAAAAATAAGTCATACTTGAATATGGAAGAAAATGAAAATAGGTAGAACAATGTGCTGAAATTGTCCTATCTGGAACTTTAGGGGAAGATACTTAATTCTAACAAACTTAAATTGGCTTTGGATTGTGATGTCTTTTTAGCAGTACTAGAAAGACTAAAGGATTTACATGTAAGCAGATACAACTTTGCTCATACAAAAGACAGAGCTTTCTATATGCCTACTTCCTAATGTATCTATATATGACATAAACTTAGAATATAAATTTCAGAATTGATGAGCAATTTTCCGCAGCAAGTTTTGCAGTAGTTAAATAATACTGGTGGTGAATTCTCTAAAACTCAGTTTTGAAAACTACTAGTCAATCTCTTCTAATATTTAAATAAATGATCAGGTAACTCTTTTAGCTTATCATTACAGAAAACTTTGAAGAAATGTACCCAATAGATTCATTTCATAAGCTAAACTAATTTTTTCTTAGAAATTAGCAATATACAGATTTCTACATACTTCATAAAAATGGACAAACTTATCTAGAGTAAGATAAAAGCTAGTTTAAATGTGGAAATTGAAATGTAGTAGTTCTTGAAACTGTTGTCTTCAAGAGATATCAAGAAAAGTCTTCAAGAAAAGTCTCATGAACCACAACATATACACACATACACTGTGAAAATCAGCATTGCCGATGAACTATAGGTAAGGAAAATAAACATATTAAAAATGTATAGCACATATATTTTTAAATTTACACAGTTTGAATGAGTTTACACAATATTTATACAAATTAAAATGTCATTCTAAGGAAGAAAAAAGAAACATGTAAACCTATACCTTCTTTTACATGCTTTATAAAAATGCATAAGAGGTAACATTTAGTAACCAAGATAGAAAAAAAAGAAGGGAAAGGATAGAGTTGCTAACTGCATCAAAACCAAAAAAAAAAATAAAAATAAAGAAAACATAAGAAATATAGTTTAAATCACAAGATTTTTTAAAAAATGTAATTGTGCTTTTCTCCTTTCTTTTACTACACCATTTAGTAAATAATATAATTGATATATAGCCTCTTATAGCATCTATCATGCGTAAGTTACTTTCCTCTATTTCTACTCTCTCCACTTATTCACTGAGGCTCACTATGATACACAGCTATACAGGTACACACAAAACAGATCTTTATATTCCCCCAGAGTCAAACAGCTGGATCAAAGGCATCATAAGAGCTCAGTTGTACAAGTCTCTCTCTGAGTGATTTCAAATTATTTTCCTAATTCTGATCCATCGTTTATATAATTTACTTTTGTTTTTTAGAGAAAATAAAGTTTTCTAAGACTTAGTGTGCTTAGATTCCAATCTACTTGAAATGGGTTAGTGCCAAAGAAGCAATCTAACACCATCTATGTGGTTCAATAGCCATTTATCAATTGATCATTATCTCTATCTGGCTTTATTAACTCTTTTCTAGCTAGAGGGAGACCTAAACCAATCTTCCCTACACACACACAGACACGCACACACACGCACACACACACACTCTACTAACTCAAAGAAAACCCTGAAGGTGACATCTAATTTTTTAAAGTACAGTACAAGTTATTTGGTCCTGAGTTCAGAGAAAACACACCCTGTGTTCCAACCATGAAGAGAGTCACCCAGGCAGAGATGTACCTCAGAAACGTCTCTCTCAAATCACTCTGCAATAACAAGGAATATCTCTGGGAGGAAATGAACTTTTTAACTTGCAAGAATGGGAAACAGCACAGAAAAGAGTTGCTTATTGGGTTTATGTTGATTGCGCTTAAATCCCAGCTTACTGTATCAGCAGTAATCAGGGTCCCTCTACAGGATATGTCAAAATACACCTTATTCAAATGCATTTATCCTATCTAGAAACTCTGTGATAAAACTGTTCGCTAACTAAACGCTACCAAACCCTGGCTCTGTGCACTCCATCTTTTGCAGAAGGATTTCTGAACTTGTGGCAGTGCATAACCTGGCGAATTTTCTCTCTTTCGTTAACAATACTTCTGAAAAAAAAATCTACCTCAATAAAGTAAAACTCATGAACTTTTATAAGCAAAACAGTTTTTTTCCCCCAAAAAAGCAGTTGCGATTTTTTTGAGTAAGTGGGGAAATATCAAATTCTAAATAACTGCCATCTGCTTAAAATCAAGTGCATTTGTCAGTCATACTTTGGCGCTGTGTGGATAATAGTATCCTAAACTCCTGCTTTGTGTGGGTTTGGTGTAGGCTTTTGGAGAGCAAGACGTGACTAGGAGGGAGGCACCAGGGAACTTCCCTCCCTCGCTTGAGCACCGTCCAAGATGAAAGTTTCTGGGTTGTTTCCCTTCGCTTCCTCTCACCCTCGCTCCCCCTCGGAGCCGCAGAGCCAGCAATTGTGCAAGAGGAGCCGGGCGCAGGGCGCAGGGCGCAGGGCGCGTATCACCGAGCGCATGGTACGAGCCACCGGCTCGGGTGATTAATTATCAGTTGCCGCTGGCCTGGCGCTAACACGTCGGCGTTCCCGGCCCCGCAAGCGCGCCCAGCCGCCTGCGCCACAGCCCGGACCGAGGAGCGGCTTTGGGGAGGACCCGAGGCTGCGCCCGAGCGTGAGTGCGCCGGCCCGCGGGCGGGCGATCGGGCGGGCGGGCGAGTGAGCGGGAGCCGGTGGCACCGGCGGGGAGCGCGGGGGAGCGCCGAGGCAGGCGGGCGGCCGGCGCGGAGGAGCGGGGACCCGGACCGGCACATGCTCCTGCGACCCTCGGCACATCCTCCTGCAACCCTCGGCACATCCTCCTGCGCCCCTCGTGCGCGCCCGCAGCGATTCCTGCACAGCCTCGTCTCCGCGGGTCGGGAGTCGAGCTGCATCCGGCCCCATGCAGTCCGCCGGGCTGCTGAGGGGGCCCCCACATTTTTATGACTGGCTGAAGAACCTACTCCGAGCTAGCAGACACTTTGATGAAGTGATTAATATAGACAGAAAGATCCATCTGTTGGGTGGTGGCTTTAAAAAAAAAAAAATTGTCTAACAGAAAACAAAGAAATAAATGAAGTGTCTCCGTGACCCAGGCAGGACTGTGAAACTTTGCAAGAAACGCCTTTGCTTTCTTTTACTTCAGTATCCTTTTCCCTTTTTCTTTTAAGGAGCCCTTAGGGAAACCGTGAAGTAACCCTGCACATTCCACTCACACAGTTATGACAAAACAGAGCCTAACTATGAAGTGATCAATTTTTTTTTAAATATCTAGGAAAATACCAGAAACAAAAGTGCACATAGCAATTCAAGATTTCTTTTTAAAAAAAAATTAAAGTAACTTACCTGTTGGGACATTCTGAATAAGAGGTTAGTATCAGCGTTTTGCCATGTCCCCATGAACCCTGGTTCAGCCGTAGTCGTTCTGGTTCCGAACTGCATGGAGTTGTCAGTACAGGAGTCTCTTAAAGTCAAGTCTCTTGCCCTCTTTGGCTCTCTGTCTCTCAGTGTCTCTCTTTCTCTCACATCCACTTCTGCCTCTTCTGA